CGTCAGGGTTCTAGGCTAGGATAAGGATGAGTGGGTACAGAGGCGCTGAGAAGCAGGCACCCGTACCGCCTGCGCCCACTCATCCTTTTTTGTGCTCTTTTTGTCCCTCCCCAGCCCAGGCTCGCGAAGAGAGGAAAGGCTCCTCCCGCCGCCGTGCTGACTCTTGGTTTTAACTCTGCTGCTGGCCAGAGGTTGAGGCTGGAAGCCCAGGGGCCAGGACGCGGGCTTCAAATTGTCACACCAGTCTTGCCAGCATCGCTTGTCTGTTCGGGCCCTCGATTTTCTCGTTGTCCCTGTTTGCTCGGTTCGGTTCTTCGTTCGGCTCTGTCGGGTCCTGGTCCGTCCCTCGTTTCTTTCGGCCCCTCTTCGGGCCCCTCGCTCGTCGTTTCGGCGCCACGGGCAGGAGTGTTCGGCAGACGATCACCCGCGCGCAAATCAAAAAAACACGGAGGTGCGCATGTCCCCGCTCCTCTGGACCTCCCAGGAGCTCACGAAATGGACCTCCCAGGACCCCTGGAGAGCTGCGAGACCTGCTCTGCGTCGGCGTAGGAGTTCACTCCGCTGGGCCAGCCAATACCAGCCGAAGAAAGTGGTGACAGTTGCGCAGTTGCCTGGTCGTTTTCCTCCTCCTCCTCCTTCCCCTCCTCCTCCTCCTCCTCCTCTTCCTGCTCCTCCTCCTCCCCCCCTCCTCCCCCAGGTCGTCTTTCTCCTCCTCCGAGGGGTGTGGAGGGCGAGGCGGGGGAGGGGGTGGAAACATATGAGGAGGAGGAGGCAACACCAATGTCGACAATAATCAGCAATCAGGAATGCGGAGGAGGAGGAGGAGGAGGAGGAGGAGGAGGAGGAGGAGGAGGAGGAGGAGGAGGAGAGGGAGGAGGAGGAGGAGGAGGAGGAGGAGGAGGGGGAGGAGGAGCATGCTGAAGAAGACGACGAGGAAAACGCCCAGGGCTGGTAGGGGAGGGGGGGCCAACGGGAAGGAATCAAGGACCAGAGGAGCAAACACCAGGTTTTGGGCTCAACGAATAGTCCAATCCGTAGCAGTGATGTGGGGCGATTCCTTTCCAAAATGGAGCCAGTGCTCGGGAAGCCTTCGAATGGGGTGTTCCAAAAAGAGACTTGCCTTCGAGAGTAGAAGGAATTGTCATCTCCTTCTCGGCGGAAGGCGGCGGAAGGGCGGAAGGTCGGCAGAAGGAAAACGAGGCAGCCTCCGCCGGTGGAAGCTTCGCGGAAGGTGGCGGATGTAAGAGTCGACCTCCCAAGATATGATTACGTGTTTGGGTTCAGGGTTTCCTGAAGCGGCCGCAAATGGCGGCCAGGAGCATCTGCAAGGATGGAGGGCGGCTCCCTTTCAAAATTGGGTTTTTGCGCGAGTTCCCTTCAATCGTAGCGGCCAGAAGGTGTAGACGTGCGAAACCGTTGCACGGGTAGGGGCGGTTGCTCCTCAAAGCAGGGTTCTCGCTGGAGACCCCGTGGAATTGTGTGGTTCTATTTCCCAACCATCCTGTGGTGTTGGGTCCTCGTTTTGAAGAGACAGCGCCCCGCGTTCACTCCTCCTCCTCCCGCTGCCCCCTCCTTCCTGCCATCATCATCATCATCACCATCATCATCACCATCATCATCATCATCATCATCATCATCATCACCATCATCATCATCACCGCACAGATTTCGGCACACCCCTCACACGTTTCGTGGCCCCATAGGGAGCTCCACCGAAGGCCCCCGTGACTGCGCTCCCATGCGCCCACCGCACAGATTTCGGCACACCCCTCACACGTTTCGTGGCCCCATAGGGGGCTCCACCGAAGGCCCCAGTGGCTGCGCTCCCATGCGCCCACCGCGCCCATTTCTGCACACCCCTCACACGTTTCGTGGCCCCATAGGGAGCTCCCGAAGGCCCCAGTGGCTGCGCTCCCATGCGCCCACCGCACCCATTTCGGCACACCCTCACACGTTTCGTGGTCCCATGGGGAGCTCCAGCGAAGGCCCCAGTGGCTGCGCTCCCATGCGCCCGCCGCACCCATTTCGGCACACCCCTCACACGTTTCGTGGCCCCATAGGGAGCTCCACCGAAGGCCCCAGTGGCTGCGCTCCCATGCGCCCCCGCACCATTTCGGCACACCCCTCACACGTTTCGTGGCCCCATAGGGAGCTCCACCGAAGGCCCCAGTGGCTGCGCTCCCATGCGCCCACCGCACCCATTTCGGCACACCCCTCACACGTTTCGTGGCCCCATAGGGAGCTCCAGCGAAGGCCCCAGTGGCTGCGCTCCCATGCGCCCACCGCACAGATTTCGGCACACCCCTCACACGTTTCGTGGCCCCATAGGGAGCTCCACCGAAGGCCCCAGTGGCTGCGCTCCCATGCGCCCACCGCACCCATTTCGGCACACCCCTCACACGTTTCGTGGCCCCATAGGGAGCTCCACCGAAGGCCCCAGTGGCTGCGCTCCCATGCGCCCACCGCACCCATTTCGGCACACCCCTCACACGTTTCGTGGCCCCATAGGGAGCTCCACCGAAGGCCCCAGTGGCTGCGCTCCCATGCGCCCCCGCACAGATTTCGGCACACCCCTCACACGTTTCGTGGCCCCATAGGGAGCTCCACCGAAGGCCCCAGTGGTGCGCCCGCATGCTCCCCACCACACCATTTCGGCACACCCCTCACACGTTTCGTGGCCCCATAGGGAGCTCCACCGAAGGCCCCAGTGGCTCCCGCATGCCTCCCCACCACCCATTTCGGCACACCCCTCACACGTTTCGTGGCCCCATAGGGAGCTCCACCGAAGGCCCCAGTGGCATCGCATGCCCCACCACCCATTTCGGCACACCCCTCACACGTTTCGTGGCCCCCATAGGGAGCTCCACCAGGCCCCAGTGGCTGCGCCCATGCGCCCACCGCACCCATTTCGGCACACCCCTCATACGCTTCGTGGCCCCATAGGGAGCTCCAGCGAAGGCCCCAGTGGCTGCGCTCCCATGCGCCCACCGCACATTTCGGCACACCCCTCACACGTTTCGTGGCCCCATAGGGAGCTCCACCGAAGGCCCCAGTGGCTGCGCTCCCATGCGCCCACCCCACATTTCTGCACACCCCTCACACGTTTCGTGGCCCCATAGGGAGCTCCAGCGAAGGCCCCAGTGGCTGCGTTCCCATGCGCCCACCGCACCCACTTCGGCACACCCCTCACACGTTTCGTGGCCCCATAGGGAGTTCCAGCGAAGGCCCCAGTGGCTGCGCTCCCATGCGCCCGCCGCATTCCTTTCGGCACACCCCTCACACGCTTCGTAGCCCCATAAGGAGCTCCAGCGAAGGCCCCAGTGGCTGCGCTCCCATGCGCCCACCGCACCCATTTCGGCACACCCCTCATACGCTTCGTGGCCCCATAGGGAGCTCCAGCGAAGGCCCCAGTGGCTGCGCTCCCATGCGCCCACCGCGCAGATTTCGGCACACCCCTCACACGTTTCGTGGCCACCGCACAGATTTCCGCACACCCCTACAGCGCCATCGAAGAAGATACTCACAATTGCGGTACTCGCAACTGCATCTGGTTGGGTCCTTCGCCAGGATAATTGTTTCGCACTCCTGACGGCTCGATGGAAGGATGCGCTCTTTTTCCACACGGTGCTGTCGCCTAAATGGCAGGCCCTGGGGGGGGTGCTCGTCTTTCAGCCGGGTGCTCCTTGTAGCGAAACGGATGCTGTCGCAGTGGCTTGTGAAAGGAGGGGATTTGGACGGGCGGGCGTATTGCAGCATCGTTGTTAAATCTTGATGTTGCTGTGGGCCTCCTCCTTCTCCTCCTCGTCCCTTCTCCCTGATCCTCCCTGGCCCTCCCTGATCCTCCCTGGTCCTCCCTGATCCTCCCTAGTCCTCCCTAGTCCTCCCTCCTCCTAAACCTCCTCCCTGATGATCCTTTCTCCTTGTCCTCCTCCCTTTCCTCTTCCTCCTCCTCCTCCTCCTTCTCCTCCTCCTCTATTCCTCTTCCTTATCAGATCTTTCTCCCTGTCGCACCCCGAGGCCAGTTTGTAGGGTGGGCCGGGTATTTCGCCTAAGACTTCCTCACTATTTATGATCCTGAAGATTAAACAGTAGTAACAGTTCCACAGATGAAGGGCGGGTCGTTTTCAAGGTGTGACTCTCGCCGCAGCGCCGCGCACATTCGTTTTAAACAGTTGCAAGAGCTTCACGGATTGAGGCCGTATGGTTTTGAATGTGGTTATTGCCGTAGTGCCGCGCACATTCGTTGTAAGCATTCGCAGGAGTTTCGCTGATTGAGTGCGGGTTGTTCTCAAACTGTGGCTCTCGCCTTAGCGCGCGCACATCGAATTAGAAATTTGAAAGAGTTTCACGGATCGAGGGCGGGTCGTTTTCACCATGTGGCTCTCGCTTCAGCGCCGCGCACATGATTTGAAGATGTGCAAGAGTTTCATGGATTGAGGGCGGGTGGTTTTCAGCTTGTGGTTCTTGCTGTAGAGCCGTGTACATTCGTTTCAACATGTCTGCAGACTTTCACTGGTTCCCATGGTCAGCGTACCAGAAATTCCTTTTCTGAAAATATTCAATATCATCAGGGTGCCTGAATTATGTTGATTCGCGGTGTTGAAGTCCCAGGAATGGCGTTCTGGCACGATTCAGGATCATCAAGACGCACCAGTCAGGTTGATCCGTGGCATTGGAATCCCGAGAACATGTCTTGGTATGTTTCAGGGTCTTCAAGTGGTTGTCTTCCAACGAGGCAGTTCTCTCAGTGGAAAGGAACCGTTGTAGGGGCATATGAAGAGGGAGCTTGGAGGGAGGTTTGATTACAATATCATTGATGACCCTTCGGGTTTACACTGGTCCTTCTCCTCTTCCTCCTCCTCCTCCTCCTCCTCCTCCTCACCTTCCTCCCCCATCATCCCTTCTCCCTCCTCCTCCCTCCTCCCGCCTCCTCCTCCTTCTCCTCCCTGACCCTCCTCCCTCCCCTCTCCCTCCCTCCTCCCTCCCCGTCGGCCCCCGAGGACGAGGACGACCCCCGGCTGAGCGACCTGCTGGGAACGCCCGCCTCGCGGCCCGCGCCCGGCGCGTCCGTGCTGCTCGGGGGCCTCGTCCCTGGCGTCGAGCTGGGGAAGGCCTTGGACGCCCGCGGCCCCTTCTCGCCGCAGGAGGGGGGAGGAGGGAGGATCAGGGGGGGGGGACGGCCAGAGAAGGAGGAGGAGGAGGAGGAGGAGGAGGAGGAGGAGGAAGCGAATGAGGCGGAGGAGGAGGAGGAGGAGGAGGAGGAGGAGGAGGAGGAGCGAGGAGGAGCGAGGAGGAGTATGGAGGATGAGCGAGGAGGAGGAGGAGGAGGAGGAGGAGGAGGAGGAGGAGGAGGAGGAGGAGGAGGAGGAGGAGGAGGAGGAGGAGGAGGAGGAGGAGGAGGAGGAGGAGGAGGAGTAGCGAGGAGCAGGGAGGAGGAGGAGGAGAAGGAGGAGGAGGAGGAGCGAGGAGCGAGGAGTGAGTGACGACAGTCGCGAAGCGAGTTCGGTGGATTACGAAGCCCGACGATCCAACTCTGCTCGGCTGCGGACCGAAGGCCATCGCCCTGCGATAATATTGGCAAGATATATGGCTCGATTGGGGATCGTGGCCTCATGCCACAGTTGCACGAGGCCTCTCAAACACTGACTGGCGAAGTGCCAAACAACACAACCACAACTTAAGCACTTAAGCCCCCCTTGTAGACGCATCTGGTGACTACTGTGAGGAAAGGAGGGAGGGAGGGAGGGAGGGAGGGAGGGAGGGAGGAGGAGGAGGAGGAGGAGGATGAGGAGGAGGAGCCGGGCCGGATTTTCATCCTGAGTCGTTTTTGATGACGGTCTCCCGGGCCACTCAACGACCTACAGAGGTCGACAACAGCGAAAACGACAACAGGTTTTTGTTGCTCGCGTCGACTCGATTCGCATCCTCCTCCTCCTCCTCATCCTCCTCCTCCTCCTCCTCCTCCTCCTCCTCCTCCTCCTCCTCCTCCTCCTCCTCCTCCCCCCCCTCCTCCTCCTCCTCCTCCCCTCCTCTTCCTCTTGTTTTTCGCTCTGCACACGCTCAATCTGAATACTACTCTCCTCCCTCCCCGACCCGCTCCGCGTTCTTTTTTCTACATGATGGTACCGAACTGCTGTTTTTGCTGCTAGGTGGGCTGCTGTACATTTCGAGTGTGTTCGGAGTTTCAAACACCGTGGCTTCGCTGCAGCCTAGGCCTCACTTTGGGATCGGCGCTGTGCTCCCGTCGTTCAGGAATGGGGCTCTCGCCCCAGCATCGGCCACTTTCCTTTGGGCGTGGGCAGAACCCCCCACCCGGACACTTTTGATGCTCCAGCCTGCTTTAGCCTTGGCCACCAGAAAGAATTTCGAGCGCCATAAAAGTGCCGAAACTCGGGGGTGTTCACGTGTCGGGCCCTGGGAGACACTCGTCCGACACTGTTCCGACACTGTTTCGGCACTCTTTCGGCACTTCTCCAGGTGTTCGAAATTATTTCTGGAATGTGGTCTTTAAGTACGATGGGAGCAACATAACCTGACACGTCGATTAGTGAATTGTCCGTTTTCGGTTCTCGAAGGGGTGCCGCGGCCGTCATTTTCCTAGCTTGCGTCCGCCAGGTTTAGGCGCGAGGTCGTTTTCACGAAACCACGTTTTTCTAAAGGGGGTGTTGACCATCCCCGATTTCCTGGATCCCACATGCCTCGCAGGTGCCACAGGTCTCGTAGGTTGCGCAGGCCCCACAAGTCTCCCACGTCCTACAGGACCACAAGGTGGTCACGGGTGGTCCCGCAGGTCCCACGGGTACACCCATCAGTCTTTTTTTATTCTTTGTTCAAACAAATCCTTCGCTGCCATGGACTCCAGATTTCGCTCCAGCGAACCGACGGGGCTTTTCCTTTCTGAGCTTTTGTTGTGTAGTTTTCGGAGATCCGGACCTGGACTACTGTTTACGAGAAGGCTTGGAGTGAAGTGCATTTTCTTGGCTTGAGCTACTTCTAACTCTAAGCAGGGGTGTACCACAGGACTGACCGGTTCCACAGGTCCCACAGGTCCAACAGGTCGCGCAGGTCCCACAAGTGTCGCAAGCCCCACAGGTCCCACAAGTCGAACAGGTCCCACAGCTCCCGCAGGTGTCGCAGGCCTCACGGGCCCCACAGGCCCCCAGGCCACAGACGTCCTCCAGGCCGCACAGGTTCGCAAGTCCCGCAGGTCTCACAGGTCCCACAGATCCACAGTTCCCACCCGCCCCACAGGTCTCACATTTCCCACGCGTCCCACAGGCCACATATTTTTCGATTGCGCATGACAGAAAAGAGTCTTCCGTAGAGTTCCAGGTCGGCGGATAGAGAACACATCAGCGCAATGGGAAGGGATGGGAGGGAGGGATAGGATTTCAGATATGGCACGAGCGCGCCTTAGCTGCATCTCTCATCTCTCTTGTTCTGCTCGTCCTCCTCCCCTTCTTCCTCCTCCTCCTCCTCCTCCTCCCCATCCTGTCGAAAGTCCCACTTTGTCGGGCGACCGGTGTCGCCGTGCCTCTTGTCGGACAATCCCGCCCGGGCGAGGCCGACAAGCCGAGCCCCCTCGCCGGCTACTCTGCCGCGCCCAAGTCGCCCGCGCTGGTCGACGCAAGCCACGCCCCGGCCTCGGGCGTGCCCTGATATCACGGCGACCGCGTCCCGGTCGCTGGCCACGGCCCTTCCCAGACTTCGTCGCCTCGGTCGCGGTCGCCGTCTTCACCGTCCTTCTCCGCAGTCCTCCGCCTCCTCCTTTCCCCCCCCCTCATCCTCCGCCCCATCCTCCTCCCTCCTCGTTCTGTCGCCTCTGTCAACATGATTATTTCTTTCTCCCTGGGTTCAGGTTCCGGGGAGAAACTGAGCCCTCATGGCGGGCGCCCTGGGCTGTGGTGCTCGTTAGTGCTGCACCCCCCCCGGCAGCTGCTCGCGTGACGGGCACTTCCGAGGCTGGGCGATCCGGTCCGATCCTGCTCCCTCCTTCCCTTCCTCCTCCTGCCAGGCCCGTAGTCGCTTTGGCGGGACCCCCCCTCCTTGCTTTCCTCGCCTGGGTGGGTCGTGTCCGGCGGTCCTGCTCCCGCGGGGCACCCCGCCGACGCGCCGCGGCAGGCTGGTCGGGGCGTTCGTGCTGAGGGGTGTGCCCCGGAGGCCTCAGAGCCTGGCCGGCGGATCCCGTCTTGCTCGGTGAGGGCGGCGGTGACATCCGTGGCCAAGCCGTGAGTGTTGTCATGCAGTCTTTCGGACCTTGGATTTCTGATCCAAGGGTTCCTTTCGGTGGCGAGCGAGGGGGGGAAGTGAGAAGGAGAAGGCCTCTTCTCAGGAGGCGGCGGGACTTCTCAGAAGCCCTCGCGCCTTCCGAAAGGGGTTCGGTGTCTTCGGGGAAGGCGCAGAACACGTCCTAGAGGGCCAGGGGACTTCCGAGAAGGCCCGCTCCTTCTCACTTCCCCCCCAGGCTCGCCGCCGAGGGAGTCCTGGGGGTCCTGGTGGGCCCGCTTCCTCAAGGGGGTGGCGACCCCCCTGGCGGTGGCCTCCTCGGCATCGCCCGCGGAAGGGGGGCGGAGACCCGCAGCAGCTCCTGTCCACTCTGAGCAGGGGGCTCGCTGTCCAGTGTTCTTGTCGTCCAGCGTCCTCCCCAGACCTCCGACGTCGTGAGTTTCTCACAGCGTCGACCCCCTGAGGTCTGGACCCCTGCCCCGGCGGGACTGGCTTTCCGTCCCGAGCCGTTCTTCGACGGTCCCGAGGCGCAGTGGGGCCCCCCGGAAGGCCGGAACTAGCGAGACGCCCCCCGCCGTGACTTGGTCACAACGCGAGGAGGCCTGGGCCACCCCGGGGGAGAGCTGGCAGCACCGCCTCGAGGCCCTCGGGGCTGCCCCCTGCTGCGGCGCCACGCTGCACCCCGGCTTCTCTGCCCACGGCGGGCCGCCGGGCGCCCGTGCCTCCTGCGGAGCACCGCCGGCAGGGGCGCCCACGGGCCCCGCGGGCGACGAGCAGGCGGGGCTGGGAGCCCGCGGGCAGAGCTTGTCCTCCGCCGCCCTCCGCCGCCCTCCTCGCCCTCGCGCGTGCGTGCGCGCGCTCGTTTCTGTGTGTGCACGTGCGCTGTCTTTGTGATCCTTCCGTGTCTGAGGCGTGTTCGTGACTCCCCTGCGCGCTCGCTGCTTGCATCTCTTCGATCTTCCTCCCTCCGCGTGCGCGCGCTCGTTTCTGTGTGTGCACGTGCGCTGTCTTTGTGATCCTTCCGTGTCTGAGGCGTGTTCGTGACTCCCCTGCGCGCTCGCTGCTTGCATCTCTTCGATCTTCCTCCCTCCTCTTCCTCCTCTGCCGCCTCCTCTGCCCCCCCACGGAGCCGGCAGCGACTACAGCGACGACCACGACCCCGCCGCCAACGCCGACGACGACCACGACGATGCCGACCACAACGGCGGCGGCGGCGACGATGGTCTCCGAAACCTGCGACCTGAGCCTGGGTCGGCCTGGACGGGGAGCTTCCAACGAGGTCGGCGCCTGCGGCGCCCCCATGGAAGAGGGCGGCGGCCACCCGCTGCCGCCCTCCTCCGCCGCTGCTGTCCAGGACGGGCTGTGAAGTCCATCGCCGTGCGCTGGCCGGGAGCGCCGAAGAGGGGTCGCTGCCAAGGGAGGGGGTCTTGAGGAGGAACGGGTCCACGGAACGCGTTCTGTGGTCTTCGGGCACCCGAGGGCCTTGCCCGGGCCCCGGTGCCGCCAGAAAAGGGTCGGGACGAAAAGTTGGTCGTGGGGAACCCCCCTGGACCCAGGTCTGCCAAGACTCGCGTTCTTCATGCCAGAGTGGGGAGAGGGCTCGGGAGGGTGGGTGGATCTCCTGGCTGGGCTCGTGAAGTCCTTCAGATGCCATGCTCCCCTCTCAGTGCGAGCTCTGGTCAAGTATGATGGTGGGGATCTCTTGGAACCGCGTGTCGCTCCGCCCGCCCCGGCCCACCACGCTGCGGCGCGGCACGCCATCCACGCCGCGGCCTCGAGGCGCCCACGTGCCGAGCTGCTCCTACAGCTCCCCGCCCCGCGGAGGGGGGAGCGGCGCGCCACCCGCCGTCCAGGGCGCAGCGTGCCGCTGGGGAGCCGCCGCGCTGCGGCACGCCGAGCAGCAGCTCCCGACTGTCATTCTGCCGCCTCTTCGGCACACTAGCCGAGCCGGAGGGAGAGAGTTGCCAGTTTGAAGCACAGCCCTGTCCCTATGTTTGACATCACCTCTCCTCGATGCCGATCTTAAGGATTCCATCAGTTTCTGAGGGCCTATCCCTAAGATTATCCTCGCTTTTTGCTCGCCCATCTTGGGGACAGGGATAAGTTCGAGGCTGGTTAGAGAGGGAGGGCGGCGGGGCCAGGCCGGGGATCTCGGACGAGCAGTAAGGCGGGCGTGTCCTTCTACAGGAGGACTACTCCGAACCGGTCGAAAAATAGTCTGGGGACGATCTGTTTCGAGCATGTGCTTGGCCATCTTTGAATCTGTCGTTGTGGGTACTTCTCATTTTTCCTTGAAGATGCCCCTGCACGAGGACACGCCCGACCTGAGACGAGGATGAATCTGTTCCAGAGCGTGCCGGAATGCTCTCAGAGCGTTCCGCAAGGCTCCGAGAAGGCAGCGGCGCTCGATGCATCCTCCAGAGCCGCTGGATCCCAGAGATTTTCGATTTCTCCTCACCTTAGTTGCCTCGATACGCCCGTTTTGATACGCAACACGTGCCGTGCTCAAAACGTCAGTGTCAATGGCGTGTTGGCTCAACTTATCGTCCCACGTGTTGGCGAGTGGATCGCGTCGGACCTACGTGTTCAGTCTACGTGTGGAGCTCCGTATCCATGCGCTACGTGTTGCGTGTTGCGTGCTGGAGCAGCTAAGATCCTCACCCGATGTTATCCTCGTCCTGGCCTCGCCTCAGGGGCAAAGGAGGCTCGAGGAGATCGACGGCAGATGTTGTTTTTTGGGGGCGTTCTTGGCCCTGGGGGGGGGCGGCGGCGGCCGCTGGCTGCTATACCCGCACCGAGCGCCGCCGAAAACAGGACCAGCTGGACGTCCTTCGCCTCGCACCAGTCTCGGCCCACAAGCAAGAGGTTACGTTGCATATCTGGGGGACCGCGCCAGTCCCCCAAAACTTGTATTTTTTCTCTTGCTCGACGCGGGCTCGGCCCGGACTCGACGCGGATTTGGCACGGATTCGGCACAGATTCGCCTCCCCGTTCCCTTCTCTAGCCACCACTGTTATCTGCCACACTTCGCTCAGCTGCCACTGAAGAGGGCCAGGTTGCCTGGGGCCCGCACCTTTTTTTAGTGCTCCGAGGCAGGACCAGCTGTCCGGATCCGATGAGTCCGACGCGGATTCGGCACGGATTCGGCACGGATAGGACCGCGACGGGACAGACAAGGTCCCCCCAGGGATGCAACAGAAAGGAGGGTGGGAGGTGTCTTGGCAGATTTGCGCCTCTCAGCTCGGGTCCAAGCAGATGGGGTCGGAGGATCGCGCCGCATCGCCGATGCATCGTCGATGCGGCTCGATGTGGAGCCCGATTTTCTCCACGCCGACGTCGCCGACGCACCGCCGACGTCACCGGTGTATCGCCGATGCTTCGCCGATGCATCGCCGATGCGTTGGCGATGCGGTGCGATCCCCTGACCAAGTCCACTCCGACGCCATCAAGGATACATTTAGCTCAGCTGCCCTGGTACGCCCGTTTTGAAGAGCAGCAAGTGCCGTGTTCAAAACGTCCGTGTGAACACGTTGCATGTTGGCTCCGCGTTTGGGCCCACGCATTGGCGAACGTAGCGCGTCATACCTACTTTGTCAGTCTACGTGTTGAGCTTCGTGTGAATACTCTGCGTGTTGCGTGTTGCGGATCGGGGCAGCTAAGCTCCTTGGCAGCACCCCTGCTTCTTAGAAGGCGCGGGCCTTCTCTATGTAAGGCCGGCGCCTTGTAAGAAACAGCCTCGTTCCAAGAAGCCTTCCCCCCTCACCCTACCCCCTTTGTGCGCTCCGTCACCAGTCGGAAAACGTGAGACTCCAGTTGGCCAGAACTCAGTTTCGCTGACGCTTTTTGACGGGCCCGTCCTGAACTTTGATGGTCCAGTTTTCGTGGGATGTTTGCAGCGGGAGGTTGTGTTATATTTCAGATTGCGTCTCGTCATTGTTTTGACGAACCAGGTCAGGACAACCCGAGTCCCCCGAACCCGAGTCTTATTCCCCGAACCATTGGGCAGGAGGCAGGAGGAGGGTGGCTGGAGGATCGATGGCCGAGACTTCCAGGCCGTCCTCTGGCCCCCTTTTAGGAGCTTCGAGGATGGGTGTCGCGGCCCCCGTCGAACATGATTGGCCACGCACAGACGGGGGATAGGGGGTGGGGGGAAGGCTTCTTAGAAGCACCTCTGCTTCTTGGATGGCCCGGGTCTTATCATATCTATACATCTAGGGCCAGCGCCTTCTGAGAAGCAGCCTTCTTATACGAAGCCTTCTCCCCTCCCCTTACCACTATGGGCGCGCCGCCAGCAACACCAAACATCATGTTTGCTTTTCGCGTCACGGCGCCAGGTTGACATGTGAAGTACCGGGTTCGTTCCCAGTCGCACGTCTGGTTCTGGGCAGATGGGTTTGCAGAGAAGAACTAATGGCTCTTGCGGCCGTTTGGGACGTTCTGGGCAAACCGGGACGCTTGTCGACAAAGCACGGCCGATGGGGAGTGCCCGGGGATTGCAAAAGCCAGAGACACGGCGAGAATGTTATGAGCATGTTGTAGCGCTTATTTCTTATTGTGCGTGGGTGTCAGAGGAGGAGGAGTAGTAGGAGGAGGAGGAGGAGGTGGAGGATGGGAATGGGCGGATCGTGGAGGAGAGGGAACTGGAGAGAGGGGCAAAGGAAGGGAGGGGGGGAGGGGAGGAGGAGGGCGGATGGGAAGGGGAGGGGGGCGACGAGGCGAAGGAGAAGGGGTACACGGTCAGGACCTTTGGTGTGGCGTGCCGCTCCGCCGGTTCTGGCCCACCACGCTTCGGCGCGACACGCCATCCGCGTCCCCGCTCCCAGTTCCTCGGCGTCCCGAGCCTCCTCCTCCTCCTCCTCCTCCTCCTCCTCCTCCTCCTCCTCCTCCTCCTCCTCCTCCTCCTCCCCGTTCCCAGTCCTCGGCGCCCCGAGCCTCCCCCGCCCGCCCGCGGAGCGGAGCGACATATGCCATCCGCTCGGCAGGGCGCGGCGCGTCGCCCCGGGGCCGCCGCGACACACGCCGGGCAAGCGTCCCGGGCCGCACTGCGCAGAGGGGCAGGGGCAGCAGCACAAGTTTGAGGACGTCCACGGTGGCACAGTCAAACGACGCGAGGATCGGGACAAAATCGGATCGGGATGACTCGAAATCTCTGAGAATCGGCGGGTCTGGAGGATGTATTGGGCGCCGCGGCCGCTCCAGAGCGTTCCGGAACGCTCTGAGAGCGCTCCGGAACGCTCTGGAGCGATTTATCCCGGTCCTAGCCCTGTTTTACACAGCCCGAGGGTCTAGCCAGCCACGCATCTTTATGGTCAAGGTACCATGTTTCGTTGTACACGTCACATGCTTCATGGTCACGGTAACATGTTCAATGGTGGACCTTGACCTTTGACCCTGGAGCCTTGGACCATGTGAAGAGCCAGCTCGTTGTGCCGCGCGTTCCGACTCAAGGACAGTGATTTGGGAGGGCAGAGCCCCTCGCGGAGGACTTCTGGACCACCAGGCGCTGCGTCTCGCCGAGCCGCCGGGCGCTGCTGGACAGCTGCGAGCCCATGTGCGAGGAGCGTTCTCGGGAGGGGAGACTTCTGGAGGGTGGGGAGAGGAGGAGGAGGAGAGGAGGGGAAAGGGACAGAGGAGGAGAGGAGGGAGAGGAGGGGAGGAGGGAAGAGAGGGAGAGGAGGAGGAGGAGGAGGAGGAGGGAGGAGAGGAAGGAGGAGGAGGAGGAGGAGGAGGGAGGTAGGAGGGAGGGGCCCTGCTTCTTTCCCCAAGTCGTATTTTGACGGTGCCTGAGCCCTGCAAGGGCACCCGGGAGGAAGCCTTTGAGGTGTTTTCGCGACGCGAGGATGTCAGGGGAGTGGCAGGCCAGGCCGCTCACTCCTCCTTCCAGCCTTCAGGCTACCTTCGGCAAAGGTTCGAGGCCCATACGTTTCTTACCCACTCGCTCCCCCTTGTTGCGTAGGTAAAAAACCCAGCTCAGTGTGGTGGTGGTCGAGCTCGCGCGCAGCGCTACTGAGTCCGCGGTTAGGTAGCGCGCCCGGCGCGGGGGCGCGTCGAGGGTGGGCGTTCGCAGGTAGGGGAAGGAGTTGGGCGCGAGGGCTCCGTCTCCTCCTCCTCCTCCTCATCCTCCTCCTCCTCGCTTTCCTCCTCCCTCCTCCCTCCCTCCTCCCTCCCTCCTCCCTCCCTCCTCCCTATCTCCTCCCTCCTCCCTCCTCCCTCCGAGGGGCCTCGCGTCGTGGGCATGGCACGACGCAAGGTTCTCATCAACTTTCGGCCTCACGTGGGCTTTGCCAGTCCCCAGGACCGTCAACAAGCGTCCAGGGACGAAAAACTGGTCCACGGGAAGAGGTCCAGGCTTGAGTGGGGCACGTCGTGAATATATCACGGGGAAGGAGGGGTAATAGTTGGAGGATCGGATTAATTCCTCAGCATGGTGAGCTCGATGCACCTCAGGCTCTTCCTCGTCGTCCTTCCCATCCTCTTAAAGAGGATGGGAAGGACGACGAGGAAGAGAATGAGGAGGAGGACGAAGAGGAAGAGGAGGATGAGGGAGAAGAAGGAGGAGGGGGGGAGATGCAGGGCGAAGGAGTAAGGAGGGAGGGGGAAGAAGTTGGCTCAAGGGGAGTTGGAGCAGGAAACGGACCGCGTCAAAAGACGATGGAGGGAAGGGGAACATGAGTTGGAGGAGGAGGAGCAGGAGGAGGAGGAGGACCAGTGTAAACCCACGAGTCATCAACGATGTTGGAATAAACCCTCCCTCCAAGCTCCGTCTTCACAGGCCCCTACAGCGGTTCATTTTCTATTGGAGGTGCATGTTTCGCTGGAAGACAACCGTTTGAAGACCATAAAGCATGCCAAACCATTATTCTCGGGATTCCAACGCCACGGATTCACATGACTGTTGCGTGTTGACGATCCTGAATCGTGCCAGAACCCCGTTCCTGGGACTTCAGCACAGCGAATCAACGCAACTGTTGCGCCCGCGTAACCCTGAATCTTTTCAACACATAATTTCTGATACATGGGAGCCCGTAACATTCTTGCAAATGTTTAAGAAGAATGTGAGCCGCGCTCAGGCGATAGCCACATTTTGAAAAGGAGCCGCCCTCAATCCGTGAAACTCTTGCAAAGTTTCAACACGAATGTGCGCCGCGCTGAGACGAGAGCCACATTCTGAAAAGGAATCGCCCTCAATCCGTGAAATCCTTACACCTGCTTAATACGAATGCGCGCTGCGCTAAGGCCAGAGCCACAGTTTGAAAACCACCCGTTCTCAATCCGTGAAATTCTGGCAACATTCTAAAACGAATGTGCGCCGCGCTAAGGCGAATGCCGTATGTTGAAAAGAAGCCGCCCTCAATCCGCGAAACTGTTGCAACAGTTCAAAGCGAATGTGCGACGCAGTAAGGCGAGAACCACATTTTGAAAACCACCCGCCCTCCATCTGTGAAGCTGTTATCAGTTTATCAGCTTCCGAGTCATGAGTGGTGAGGGGATATCAGGCGAAACGCCCGGCCCGCCCTAACAACTGGCCTCGGGGTGCGACAGGGGGAAGTGGTGTATAAGGAAAAGGAACGGAGGAGGAGGAGAAGGTGGAGGAGCTGGTGGAGGAGGAGGAGGAGCAGCAGGAGGAGAAGGACGAGGAGGAGGAGGAGGAGGAGGAGGAGCAGGAGGAGGAGGAGGGAGGAGGAGGAGGAGGAGCAGAGGAGGAGGAGAAGGAGTTGGAGGGAGGAGGGAGGAGGAAGAGGAGGAGGAGGAGGAGGAGGAGGAGAGGAGGAGGAGGAGTTGGTGGAGGAGGAGGAGGAATTGGAGGAGAAGCATGATGAGGAGGAGGACGAGGACGAGGAGGAGGAGGAGCAGAAGGAGGATGAGGAGCAGCAGGAGGAGAAGGACGAGGAGGAGGAGGAGGAGGACGAGCAGGAGGAGGAGGAGGAGGAGCAGGAGGAGGAGGTGGAGGAGGATGGAGTGGGAAAAGAGGCGGCGGAAGACGAGGGCATCCACCCCTGGGGATACGCCCGCTCGCCGCATAGAGCATGTAGGTGGGGGAGGGAGGGAGAGAGAGAGAGAGAGAGACATACATACTTGAATGCATAACAATCAACGAACGAGAGAGACACATATAGAAAAAACATGAGACATACATATTCGTGTATGTATATCTATAGAGGGAGAGAGAGAGAGAGAGAGAGAGAGAGAGAGAAACAAAAAAACATGTAACACAAAAAAGCAAATTGGCTCGCCCAGGACGCGTCGGCCTTCGCTGGCGGCCCCGAGGCCGCGGGCCTCGAGGAGCCCCCGTCGCCGCCAGCGCTGGGGGCGTTCTGCTCCATCATGGAGCTGAGGAGCGCGCCCGCCCCCGCTAGGGGGGAGGAGGGAGGACAATGAGCAGAAGGTCATAAGAACTAACGAACCCGTAACCCTGATAACACAATTATCCCAGTGCGACCCTACCTAGGAGTTGGAGCATTTAGGACAGCAACATCTACATCTACACCGACAGCTACACTTACATCTACACCTGCATCGACATCTACATCAACATCAACAGCGAGACTCACATCTACATCTACACCTACACCCACACCTATATCTACATCTACATCTACATCTACATATACACCTGCATCCACATCTACACCTACACCTACACCTACATCTACATCTACATATTCGCGTTGGTTGTGCTTTTGCTTTGCATTGCCTTTGCTTTTGCTCTTGCCTGTGCATTTGCCGTTGCCTTTGCTTTTGATTTTGCTATTGCTGTTGCTTTTGCTCTGCTTTTGTTTATGATGTTGTTTGAGTTTGTTGTTGCTGTTGCTTTTGCTAAGCTAAGCTAAGCTAAGCTAAGCTAAGCTAAGCTAAGCTAAGCTAAGCTAAGCTAAGCTACAGCTAAGCTACAGCTAAGCGAAGCGAAGCGAAGCGAAGATGAAGCTAAGCTAAGCTAAGCTAATCTGAGCTAGGCTAAGATGAAGCTAAGCAGCGCTAAGTTAAGGGGACGTAGCTGGGGGAACCGCGGGGCGGATACTGGGGGAACCGCCCGGGCCGGTTCCCACTACCTGGCCCTTTAAGCCAAGAGAGTAAGAACCCTTCTAGGCAGAGCCTAGGTAGGGAATGAGGACGTGGCCTCACTGATGTCCCCGCCCTTGTCTTAGGAATTGCAGGTCTGGGCGGTTTGGTTTAATACTTTCGCAGCACATGCCCCCTATCCCTGATGTTTCTAGCCCTCCTGTCTCAGGTCCCCTCTCCAAAGGTGAGGGGTCCTGGTCTTGCTTATCAGGAGGAGCAGGCACGATTCGCAACCAGCGGAAGGCCGAAAATGATGCCAGCGCTTCCGCGGGAGCAACATTTTGGAATCCAGAGCTGAGCGCAAACCCAGCGCCCGGGAATCCTGTGCGTAGAAAAACTGTACGCGGAGGGGGCCGAAGATCTTCGGGACGTCATCAGGGGAGAGGGGAGCAGTATTCCTATTGTGTAGTTGTGGAGGCAGGTCGGAGGACGAGGAGGACGAGGAGGGCCGGAGACGGAGGATGGAGGAGAAGGAGTACGAGGAGGACGGAGGAGGAGGACGGAGGACGGAGGACGGAGGAGGAGGGAGGGGGGAGGAGGACGGAGGAGGAGGAGGAGGAGGAGGAGGAGGAGGAGGAGGAGGAGCAGGAGCAGGAGGACGAGGAGAGGGGGTACGAGCACGACCCCGGGGAGGCGCCCGCGGGCCGCGCGACACCCCAGGAGAGCCTGCTCCCCCTCGCGCCGCCGCCGCGGCTCCTGGGGGGACGCCGCCCCGAGACACCAGGACCGCCCCCCCGGGGCGCGGGGCTCGCGGAGGCTCGATGGGCAGGAGGAGGAGGAGCAGGAGGAGGAGGAGCAGCAGGAGGAGGAGGAGCAGGAGGAGGAGGAGCAGCAGGAGGAGGAGGAGCAGGAGGAGGAGGGGGGGATGATGATGATGATGATGATGATGATGATGATGATGTGATGATGATGATGATGATGATGATGATGATGATGATGATGATGATGATGATGATGATGATGAGGAGGAGGAGGAGGAGGAGGAGGAGGAGGAGGAGGAGGAGGAGGAGGAGGAGGAGGAGAGGAGGAGGAGGAGGAGGAGGAGGAGGAGAGGAGGAGGAGGAGGAGGAGGAGGAGGAGGAGGAGGAGCAGCAGGAGGAGAAGGACGAGGAGGAGGAGGAGGAGGAGGAGGAGGAGGAGCAGGAGGAGCGGGAGGAGCAGGAGGAGGAGGAGGAGAACAAGCAGGAGGAGCAGGAGGAGGAGCTGGTCAGTCATGGTCTTCTCGTGCGTTTTCGGGTCTCCCAGCCACGGTCGCCCCCACGTGCTTGTCGCCCTTTGCAGCGCACAGGATCGAGGGCAATGATGCGCAGCAAGGGCGAGCGGCTTTCCAAGGGTACCCTTGCTCTACAGTGGAGACCCATGCCACGAAGCACCGTGCTTGCCTCCAGGGTGCCCTGGGTCTCTTGGGTTTCGATGGTTTTGCCGTGGAAAGCGTGGCGATCCCACAGCAAAATCGATGGACGTCCTGGGGTCTCAGGGTTGGGTTTCTTGTGGAAGGTTTCTTGTGGTCGGGCCCCTACTGTAGGACTCCTGGATGGGGTCCGAGTACATGGGGTCGGAGGATCGCGCCGCATCGCCGATGCATCGCCGATGCGGCTCGGTGTTGAGCCCGTGTTGCCCCACGCCGACGTCGCCGATGCATCGCCGACGTCGCTGGTGCATCGCTGGTGCATCACCGATGCATCGCCGATGCATCGGTGTGCGCGCAATCCTTCGACCCCATCTATTCGGACCCCATCTGGGAGGCCTCTACTTGCATTCTTCCCCTTTCGGCCCATTCATGGCCGCTTTCGCTGGCCGCACCCCCGCTCGCAAGGTGTCGGCATGGCCTTCCGAGGCCCTTGCATCCTTATCGCGCGTTCTTGTTAAACGGGCTGACTGTAGGCATAGAGTGGGCGCGTCGACTCCCAATCGCCCGTTCATCGCCTTCAGGGGCTCGACAGCCCCAACCTGCCCACGACCGTGCGGATTTGAAGGGGGTGTGTCGCAGGCGAACCCGGGGAGGAAGTGAGGAGGGGCGGGCCTTCTCAGACGGCTCTGGAGTCCCCCGTCCTTTCCGAGAAGTGTTCTGAGCTCTTCCCGAAGACGCAGCAGACCTTTCAAAAGGCACGAGGCCTTCCGAGGCTTCTGAGAAGCCCCGACCCTCTGAGGAGGCCTCCTGCTCCTCACCTCCCCCCCCCCCGCTGTCGCCCCGGGTAGGGGCGTCAGGGAGGGCGCCTATCCCACCAAAGCCGGGGGCTCCGGCCGTCGCCCTCACCAAGGGCGTCCAGGAACGTCCCCATCCTCCTTGTTGTTGCTGGTGTTGCTGATGCTGCTGGTGTTGTTGGTGGTGGTTTTGTTGGTGGTGCTGCTGCTGTTGCTGCTGTTGCTGTTGCATTCTCACTACGGAAGAATAACTATTGTTGGTCCCCCCCGTCGGTAACACAGATGTGTTGTTTCAAATGATGTGCCCCTCCTGGGCTCGCACCTTGTTTTTATCCGGGATAGTCTCCCTCCTCAAACTGCGTTGTTGGCCCCCGGACTTCAACAACAACGGCTCCCGCCTGATACTTCCTCGTAATTTATTGAGGAATCGCGCTCTCGCTAGGGACTTACTTGCACTTCATCGAAGAATCGCTCTCTCGCCTGCGACTTCCTCGCAAGTTATTCATGCGCCACGCCCTCGCCATTCAGGAATCGCGCTCTCGCATGGGACCTCGTCACAGTTTACTTGGGAATCACGCTCTCGCCCGAGACTTGCTGGCGAATTATACAAGACTCACGCATTCGCATAACATATGGTTTTTCGATTGAAGTGCCCCTCACGAGGCTCGCTGTGTTTTTGCCGGGGGAAGTCTTCCTGCTCAAACTGTGCCCCTGGCCCCCGGTTTATAACAACAGCGGCTCCCGCTTGACATTTCCCCACCATGTATTTACAAATGGCGCTCTCGCGAGGGGCTTTCTCACAATCTCATACAGGAATCACGCTTTCGCGTGGGGCATCCTGCAGTCCATTTAGACGCTACGCCCTCGACACTCATGAATCACGTTCTCGCTGTGGATTCCTTTCAGATTTATTGGGGATTCACGCTATCGTTTTGGCAACCCGTCTGCTCGACCTGGCCGTCTGGACCCGCCTTCCCGATCCGCCCGTTAGGGTCTACCCGCCCGATGGGCCTGTCTGGTCCTGCCACGTGTTTTCTGCTCCTAGCCCACCTCCTGCTGTTTTCTCTCGTGCTCCATCTTTCTCCCCCCCCCCTTGTCCGTTCCCTCCATCCGTCCTCTTTTTCCCTGCCTCAGGGTTGCACGAAATACACACCTTGCAGACAAGACAGATACACCCCGAAGGGGGTACGATCGAAGACGAACGGGGGGGGTATCGAGGGTTTGGGATATACGTATTGCGTGGCACACGAGCAGGGAAGAGCGAACGGTCTTATCATGATTGTTGTTGTTGTTGATGTTGTTGTGGTTGTTGTGGTTGTAGTTGTCGTTGTTGCTGCTGCTGTTGGTGTTGTTGTTGTTGAATTACAATGTCTGAATAATAACTTGTATTGATCCCCCCTCTGGGGCACATTCTGTTTTTTTCCATTGATGTGCCCGTCCCGGGGCTCGCACATTATACATATATATATATATATGTGTGTATATCCGGCGTCTCAGAATTAGGTGATATGGCCCCCGGTTTACAACAACAGCGGCTCCAGCTTGATTTTTCCCAACCATGTTTTGCCAAATCGTGCTGTTGCGCGGGACTTCTTCACAAGTTGTGCAGGAATCGCGCTCTCGCGTGGGACATCCTCGCAATGTATGCAGACGCCGCGCCCTCGACACTCAGGAGTTGCGCTCTATCTGTGGACTTCCTGGCGCTTTATTTGGGAATCGCGCTATCGCTCGAAATTTCCCCGCGATTCATGCAGGACGCACGCTTCAGCAACCCGCCTGCTCGACCTGGGTGCCTAGGCCTGCCTTCCCGACCCGCCCATTAGGGTCAACCCGCCCGATGGGCCCGTCTGGTTCTGCCAGGTGTTTTCTTTTCCTGGCCCCCATACTGCTAGTTCCTCTCGTGCTCCATCTTCCTTCTTCCCCCTTGTCGCTTCCTTCCATCCGTCCCCTCTTCTCTTGCCTCAGGGGCTGCACGACATGCATGTTGCAGGTCAGAAACAATAAATTCCCCGAGGGGGGTACGATCGAAGACGAAGAGGGCGGGCATCGAGGGTTTGGGATATACGTGTTGAATGGCACGCGAGCAGGTATGAGCGAACAGACTTAAGATGATTGGTGTTGTTGTTCGTGTTGCTGCTGAATTCCCACTTCTCAAGAATATGGTTTGTTGATGTACCCTGCCCAGTAACTGGTTGATGTTTCAATTCAAGTGCTTCTCCCGGGGCGCGCACCCGGTTTTCTAAAAAGGAAAGCGAGGTGTCAGCAAGTTGCGCCTTTGGCCCCCGCCTGTTTACAACAACAGCGGTTCCCGCTTGATGTTTCCTCACAATGTATTCCCGAATCGCGCTGCCGCGCGGGACATCCTCACAAAGTGTACAGGAATCGCGTTCTCGCGTGGGACTTTAATGCAGACGCCGCGCCCTCGACACTCGGGAATCACGCTCTCGCTGCGGATTCCCTCACGGTTTATTTTGGAATCGCGCTTTTGCTCGAGATTTCCGCGCGATTCTTGTAGTAGTTACACTTCAAAGCCGCCTGCTCGACCTGGCCGCTTGGGCCCGCCTTCCCGACCCGCCCATCAGGGTCTATCCGCCCGTCTGGTTCTGCCACGTGTTTTCTGCTCCTAACCCTCCTCCTGCTGATCCCGTGCTTCATCCTTCTCCCTCCCCCTTGCCCCTTCCTTCCATCCGTCCTCGCTTCCTCTGCCTTAGGGGCTGCGCGAAATATACGTTGCAGGTAAGTAAGATGTGCAACCCCAAGGGGGGACGATCGAAGACGAAGAGGGCGGGTGCCGAGGGTTTGGGATATACGTGTTGAATGGCCCGCGAGTAGATACGAGGGAACAGTCTTAACGTGATTGATGTTGTTCTCGTTGTTTTTTGAATTTACATCAGCCTCTAACACTAATCAATGTTGATCTCCCTCCGACGGTGCAAATGGCGTTTTTCAATTGAATTGCCCCCCTCGGGGCCCGAGCCATTTTGATCACGGAAAGACTTCCTGCTCAAACTGTGTTGCTGGCTCCCGATGTACGACGACAACGGCTCCCGCCTGAGGTGTTCCAACGTCGCATTCTCGCGCGGGACTTCCTTACAATGTATGCAGGAATCGCGCTCTCGCGTGGGACTTCCCCGCGATTTATTCAGACGCCGCGCCCTCGACACTCAGGAGTTGCGCTTCTCGCTGTCCTTTCTCACGGTTCAATTCGGAGTTGCGCTTTCGTTCGAGACCTCCACGCGATTCATGCAGAACTCACGCTTCAGTAATCCGCTTGCTCGACCTGGCCGCCTGGGCCCACCTTCCCGACCCGCCCGTTAGGGTCTACCCGCCTTATGGGCCCGTCTTGTTCTGCCACGTGTTTTTTGCTCCTAGCCTCTCCTCCTGCCAGTTTCTCTCGCGTTTCATCCTCCCCCTTCCATCCGTCCTTTCTTCCCTTTGTTGTAGGGGCTGCGCTACATGCGCGTGGCAGGTAAAACAACTAGACTCCCAAGGGGGTACGATCGAAGACGAAGAGGGCGGGTACTGAGGGTTTGAGAGATACGTGTTGAATGGCACGCGAGCAGATCGGAGCGAGCAGTC